ACATGAATCATAGAATAGGAAAGAAAAAAAAGGAAATAACATGAAATGAAAGATATAACTCCTAAATCTATAATTAATTAATTCATATTAATTATTTGGAGATAAAGAGAAAAACATAAAATAGGAAAGAAAATAACTCATAATCCATGAAAATAAATATAAAAAAGGAAATGTTATAACTCATAATATAAGGAAATAATTTATTCCTCATAATTTCTCATAGGAATGAATCATTTCCTAATATATATTCTAACAAAAGGAATATATGTATGTGTATATATATTTTATGGAAGCCCTAGGGCATATTATATTGAAATAAAAAAAGATACAAAAAAGTTGTATGAGAGGGCCCAATAGATGATGCCCTGCTCATACGATACATGGTACAAAGATATCCCAACAAAAATATACAAAAGACTAAAAAGAAAAACATGCAAAAATAAGTGTCTATGGACTAGGCAATTTAGACCCGCCTCTTCCTCTGGTTCTTAGAGCGGATCCAGATAGCAAACTCTGAAGTGTTGTTCCATTGTCAGGAGTGACCAATGTATCATCCATTAAGTTTCCAAGCTGAACAGTGTCCCCAGCCTTCTTCCTCCGACGAGAAGTGTAAACTTGTCATTCTTCTTCTGAAGACTGTTCAGTCTGATATGTAGAAGGAAAGACAGTTGCAACGATGAGTTCCTGAGTTTGTGTAGGACAGTCTTCCAAAACTTGGGAAACACCTGCCCTCTCAACATGTAGTTCTGCCAACTGATTAATTGCAGTAAGATTGCTTGTGTTTGACTCTAAATCTTCCTCATTAGTATTAGGAGACACCTTTTCCGTCGTCTGAATTTGAATGTGACAGTCTTCCAAAACTTGGGAAACACCTGCCCTCTCAATAGGTAGTTCTGCCAACTGATTAATTGCAGTAAGATTGTTTGTGTTTGGCTCTAAATCTTCCTCATTAGTATTAGGAGACACATTTTTCGTCGTCTGAATGTGAATGTTCGCTTTATCCCTATCTTCAATCATCTCATAGAGGGGAGCATGAGCACCCTCCATGGTAGGTAGAGCCTGAGAGGGTAGTATGTCCACTCCAGTAGAAGGGCAGTGACAGTGTTCTACCTTCCAGGGGCAACCACCCGTCTCTCCTCCAACAAACGACCCTTATCAACATTTTTCGAAAGAATATCAATGGACAAACCATTTTGCACCGTATCCACCATTGGCATAATAGTAGGTATCACAGACAGTGAGGAAGAGGGTATAACCTCCGCAGAAGAAACAGGAGGTGGGGCTACAACAGACCGAAGATGGGGATGCAACTGATAACAGGATGAAGAGCTATGACCAAACATTCCACAGTGAGAGCAGTATTGGGGATGAGGTCCCATCACAATGTTCTGCCAATAACCCTGATGAGGGGAGCCAATCCAAATCTCCCCTAAATAGGGTTGAGTGATGTCGCGCTCTACAAGCACACAAGCTTTAGATGAGCTGGTTGTATCAAGCATGGGAGTATCGACCTTCAGCGGTTTCCTAAAAGCAGTTGCCAATGTATAAAGAGTTTCATAATTAAAGAGATGCATCTTGAGCCCTGGAAAATTAACCCAAACCGGGATAA